TGGCGCAACAATACATGCATTATAAAATAACAAATGAAAACGAAGAAGGAAATTGTTATAGGTGTTTGCAGTAACTTTTATTTTGTTGGATGCACGAATAGGTACTATTCGGAATTTTGTTGATTGCGTTCTTCATTGGGGGCAATTTTCCTTTCCAATTAAACTTTGCGTCATGCGGCACAGGCTCGCGCTCTCTTTTTCTTCGCTATGCTCCGTGTTTCCAATTTATCGGGAACGCTGCGACCCTGGCGACGGCACCGGCACCACGGACACGGACCCCGCGCTTCCATCTATGGAAGTCCAAGTCGATGCGGTCGTACCCAGCGCATAGTTGTTCTGTTATGCCGCATTATGCCAGAGGAAAATCAGAAAACGCTACGAAGAATCTGATTAAGGAATTACTTCTTTCTTGCTTTCATTCTGTAGTTGCTGCTTGCACATCGGCGTTTAGATAGATACCGTGAGAAATATCGTTGCCAAGCTTGGTATTCAAACGAGCAAAAAATAAGACCATGTACTAGAATGTTTCGATAGAGGAGGGAAAAATGTACTTCCGAGATCAGCGATAGGTAAATACATGGGCAACTGAACGTGGAAATTGCTGAACGTTTTAACGAATGAATTTTCTGAACGAGTTCCTCTGTGTTATGGGATTGAACTCGAACACTTCCTCTGGGAGAAGTTAATAGGTGTTTATCACACAATGTCAACCTTTAGTTGCAAATTTCACATCGTATGAAAGGGATCCTGAAAACTCCAGAGCCAGCGGCACAACCATTCTAACGCAAGCCCATCCCTTTGGCTAAAAGCTCCTTGGAAACATACCAACAGAAAAGACATTTCCCTTCTTGTCAAAGCTCTGGACTTCAATCTCATAATTGAAGCCTCTCCAGATTCCATGCACCTCCTTGTCCCTCATAATCACTTTTCTGACAGATAGATACCGTGAGAAATATCGTCCCCAAGCTTGGACGACTTTTCAATGGACAGGAAGAAGGGTGAAGAAAAATTTAGTGGAAACCAGTTACTAGGATCTGAAATTTTTGGGATCGGAGACACGACGTGATATTAACCGGTACGATGATAAATTCTGCGATCGTATCCCGTTGATAATTACTTTATAAAAATCGATGACAATTAACGTGTGCGCGCGCTATGTGCGAACGCCATTTGTCCGCCCCGTAATCTAGTTAGCCGCGGCTGGGGAACAACTAATCTAATTATTGTCCAAGCTGATCGGAATTACAGAGATTAATCAATCCATTTTCATTCCGGAAATGTTTCTTCAAATCTAATCATAGACATTCTGTGCACGTTTCGTTTTTATATATATATACATATGTACGTACGTATATGGGTGTGCGTCCTCATCCTCTCTGTCTCTTTCTAAGTCGTCGATTGTCAATGTGAGGGTCATAGTCAGTATGTATGCTGTACATAAATGTAATCCCAGTTCCTTCGTTGATTGATTAGTTATCACTACAATATTGACGTGATAGCTTTTGAAAGTTTTATTACTACTGAATAACACGAAAATTTGATTACATCTTACTTCTTTTGATTCTATTCTGGGAATTGGGCAATTTAAGAATTGAGTATCAAATAATATTTCAGAAAACAGATGAGGATGGCGATTGTAAATAAGATATTTGGTACATATTTTAACAAACATCAAAGGCGGCGTCATCTATTGAAAAATACGTCGTGATATAGTGATATAGGAAAATTCATATAATAGTAATATGTCCAATAAACTTAATTTAAAGCTTTCGAGTTGTGTAACGCTTCTATCAAAAGATTTTGGGAGTTCGGGTAATTTAGGACGATTTTCAGAGAAGCAGGTGATATTTGAACATTCGTGTAATAACTTTCATTAAATTGAGGTTATGGCACATTTGGCTGTCGATTACGACATCTGTTGCCATATCGACGAATTATTTTGCGCCGCGTCGTTTAAAGTGTCGCCTCATTCTCTCCTATTGTAGTTATGTGTATGTGAACTCGTACGTACGTACGTGAGCGTGTTAGTTTTACGATGTATACGATTCAACAGCTGAGAATGACATATTGTCGGTTTTACGAGCGCACCAGTTTAGATAGGGTGATGTCGGTCGGTGGCGCACTTGGAGAGATAGGTGGCTCGCTCTCTTTATGAGCTGCATGGTCATTATACAAATTTGTATCTAATTTGTGTTCACTACGCGGTCGCGGTTTTATTCTCCGCACGTAAAACTGGCTTTTATTGGATAACCGTTGCGGCGCGACGCGGCAGGACGCGATGCGATGCGATGCGACGCGACGCGACGCGAAAGGACGTGTTGCGGTCGGCTGCCTCCCGTTTTTGTTAATTGAATCGAAACGTTGTAAAGATAATGGAAAATGAGGACGTATTCCCCCGGTTTATTCCTCTTTGTGGCGTTATAAAAATGCTGTAAACGCCACGCGCGTGAATTATGTCTCGAATTCTTCTGTCATAACTGTAATTTATTGCGTTAGCTGTCAATTTAGATTTACGGATTATTTTTAGTTAGCAGTAAAACGACAATGTAAATTATGTAAGCTGTAAAATTGCTAGTTGCGACCGAACCTGATGCGAAGAAGACGAACCGAAAGGGACTTTCTTTCAACTTTATAGTTTTGACTTGGTGTTTTATGATACGTGCGACACAACAGGTTGCCAACGTTATCCATCCTTCCCACTTCCATATCAATCTATCTATTCCGTTGAATGATAATATAAATTTAAATTTCCGTTACTTGAAAACGTTATTACCCTTCTTAACAGTCAATAAGCAGGTAATAACTGCAGTGCATTTTTTCAACGGATTAAATTATTTTAATAAATAGTGACGCAGGGTTCAGGCCAGCGTAGGTCCCCCGAAAGTCTCGAGCATCGTCGCACCCTCCCGTTAGTTTGCATAATTGTCGTCAGTTGTTATAATTAAACATTTAATGGCCAGATTCATACGGTGCGGGAGCTTAACCCCGACCATCTGAATCGGATCAACGACGTATATTATTAGCAAATCTCTTCAACCCTCATTTAATCCACACCTTCCAATAACTTTGTCGGAGGACGCTTAGCACCAGATGATACCGCGCGGATTGCGACGTCATGAATTTATTGAACTCGGCACACGAAATATTCGAGGGCGAATGCTCTGACTCGAATATGACTAGATGTAGATAAAAAACTTTTCCAATTGCATAATGTGCATCGTCTGGCGTTCAAAACATCCAGATAGATAGAGAAAATTAAGTAATTTAGGAAAGGTCTCTGGCCAGAGAGCGAAATAAAGAAAGAAGTTATAGTAAGAGAGGGCGAGTGAGATGGAACGTAGCTGCCGTCTAAGCGTAATTTCAACCGCTCGAGTTGATAACGACTCCCCTCGTGCGACGACAATTTATCACAGCTAGATGGCGCTCTGCATTAACCCAGGTGAACCCCCGCACGAGACAATGTCCCCGGGCGGTAATGCTATGGAGCGCTATGAAAAATGATGATGACATGGACTCGTGAAAACGAAAAAACTCTGGGGAACGAAAACTCCTGCCGTCGACGACGACTACCACACCACTGACTGAATGCATTTCGCTCGGAAAAATAACTTTAAATGCGTTCGTCTTTTGCTTCTTCATTGACTTTACTAATCATAAGGGACAGTCAAGATATCCATGACCGGGTTTAATAGTGAGGAATTATTCTCACGAAGGAATGAGAGAGTCGATTTTGTCGATATCTTCACCTCCTGAAGCAGGAAAACCCGAGTGTATAAATTAGCGATTTGGTCGGCCGTGAGAGGCAGTAAGGAAGTGTCGGATGGTCAGTTTTAGGGCCATAAGAGCGGCATCAAGGAGTGTTGGCGAAGCGTGTAGAACGGCGACGACACACATAGAGCGAAGCGTCTCGGTAGTACCGACGACAACGGCGCGGCGTCCGTTTTCTCGTACGTCGGACAGTAATCGCCCTCTTCAGGATCGTAAACATGCTCGAACGATCGTTCAGTCGCTGCAGGACAGCCCTTAATGGATTATTTGCAATCGATGTGGACTTGGGCCGCAGGGCGAGCAACCGACCACGCAAAAGTGCCCTTTTCTTCCCTTTAATTACAAAGACGAGGAGAGAGAACTTTCTTTGACCAATAAATGGTCCGCTTCGGACTCTAAATAACCGCCCGGTAACGCCGATCGATAGTTACGCTTGTTACAAAAAAACTTGAAATACGAAAGACGAAACGTTCTTCATTATTCTTTAAGATTAAACGCGATTTGTTGCTGATAAAGATAGACAGATTTTTTTTGACAAAAATAGGAAAATATAGGGGGTGGAAAATGGAACGAATGGTAGAAAATTAGGCGTAACGCTATTATAGATTTATCTCCCTAATTTTCGTAAATTTGTCGCGGCAAGAATGCAGCAATAAAGCCAATTTATTCTAAAAACAACGCTATCATTCGCAATAACATTCTCGCGCAAATGAATGTGCATTTTAACAGCGGAAACGTTTCGAACGGCGGCGCGAATTATTGCAAACATAATTTAAAATATCAGCAGCGAGCAATTAAGCAGCGGCGCACATACCGCGCGGCGAATCTACCACAAATTACCGCGCGTAGCGTGAATTATCGCGTTGCATTCGCGATTTTGTAACGTTTCGACGTTAAATTTAGAATGACGCCCGACCTATGTCCCATATCTTACACACCCACTACGCCACAATTTAAAAAAAAAAACAAATGTCTTTAGTCTTTTACATTTTACAATAGAGCTAAGTTGCTTGAGAAAGCAGTGCAACTCGTTTTGGTTGTATCTCTAATATTTGAAGTTAGTACACTGTGCACTTTACTCAAATCGCCTAAATGTTCAGTCAGTTAGACATTCTCTATAGTTGTTGTAGAAAATGCCAGATCTTACAGATTGACATATATATATAATTCGTTTTGTTCTTGGGCGGAAATTGCTTGCTAAAGGAAAAAAGAGGAAATTGAGTAGAACTTACCAGTTATTGACCTGAAGTATCGTTAACCCCGTGTCCTGCGCGAGTTGTTTCTTCTGGTCCTCCGAAGGGTACGGATGCTGAAACAAAAGAGAACGCAATTAGTTCGTCGTTCCAGTCAATAGCAATAAATGCTGAAAGGAATCGTACCAAAATGAAATATCATATGACAGCAGCCAGAAGGAACAATCCGAATAACACCTACGTGGACCTTGTTAACAACCCAGCGTCGTTCTGGGAGTCCGGTCCCCCTTATCTTTCGAAACAAAACCGAAAATTGTTGATCCCTTCCAGATATCGGATGAAGAAAAAAACAAAAAGAAAAAAAAAAATGGTTTCGAGGCAGGTGCAAGTGCTGCGGCGATACCGGATCCTGTCTCTTTTGTTGTTGATGTTGCGTGGCGGAGGAGTTGGATGAGGTATCGGGTTACCGTGTTTATGGGGTTTGCGTCTGAATATTAAAAAATAACTGGGAAACGCGGGATCCATTCAGTAGCACTGTCGGTTATTTGAGAAGGATCTCGTTGGCGGCGAGGCGACGGTGGCCAGCAATTGGATTAATTCAATGAAAGGAAGAAGGGTTGTTAATGCAATGGGGCACCAATATCTCGTTACTATGCAAGCTCGTTCCTGTCAGTCATCATTAGCGATTCTTATACAACAACCGCAAACCCTCGATCGATTATTATCTTGTTAAAGTGTTGCCACGGAAAAAGAATTAATGTGTTCTCGTGTAATGGTTCTCGAATTGTATGATATTTGAAAACAACAAAACACATCATTGGATCAACCAAAATTATTGGATAACGGATTTCCATACTTGGTTTCATTCAATAGACGGATAACATATTCAAATCAAGTTTCCGCAAAAAAAAAAAAACCGATAGTCGAAGAGAGGGTGCCTCGCAGTCATCATCAGATTCCGGGACGTTTTAGGGCAAAACGGGATCCGTTGTCGTCTGGCGTTACGTAGTACGTATTTAGATGGGTTTTATTGGCAATTCCATCCACAGGTCGGATGTGTGTCGTCAAATAACGAGTTCCTCGGGGCTTTAGATGCGGGAAAAGCGCGCGTCGTGGCGTCTGGAAACTGTCGAAGTCGTCACGCGTCTTCGAGTTCCGATACCGAACGCGATCTTCCTCGCGCGTCTCATATCTATCGGAAATAAACATTGGATCGAGCAAATCGTGCGAGACCACGGACCGTTCAGACTTATAGAACTGCGTACTTATTGCTTCCGGGTGAAGGAAAACACAACGCCCGATGCTTTCCGAATAATGCGCCTTTCCCTGCTTCACTACTTCGCATTATCACAAGAGGAAGACTTTACGTTTTCAACTGTGATTTCTCAGTTATTCCTTGAACGTGAAGTCAGGAAAAATTGCAAAAATACCACAAATTTCATTACTTTAATACAAACGTACATGAGGCTTAACGACAAGTCATAAACAAAAGGGCTTTGGGCCTTTTTAATGCAAATTTAGATCGTCAGAACAGGAAGAAAAATAGTAACAACAAAGAAGTCGGATTCGAGTTTTACAATCTATATAAAGAATAAGGTACGTTGTACGTAGAATAAAATAAACAAACAGAGAGGCGGTAAATAATGCAGCACAGAGGGCGATGGGTGGGTGGGTTGGTGGGTGGAAGCTCAGGAAGAGAACAGAATCGAGCATGAGCATATCAGGAGTTGGAAAGAAAGAGCAGTGGGATCGATATTCCCTTGACGCGTAGCTCTTTATTCTTTATGATATTTTAGCGGAATTGCTCATTTCTTAATTGCAGAGAGGACCGGTTAAGCGCTGCTTATTTAAAATTCATGACTGTTAAGTGAATAAAGTTGGCGAGCAGTTGCATCTCCCGGGAACCGTGCATAATTTATGTACGAGCCGCGCATTTTGACAGCACGCGGCGGCAACGACGTCGACGACGACGCCGACGACGGGGACGGCAAAACGGACGCGAAACAAGAAGAAGCGCCCGCGCCGCGCCAGTTTGATGTGTACCGAGAAGCAATCTAGGTAATTGGAGAGAAGAGAAGTGAAGTGAAGTGAGGGCGAGCGAGCAACCCTCTTCTCTTCTCGTCGGGGGATGTTGCCGCCGTACCGCCTCTGCGACAGGCGAGCAACGCTATACCGACAATCCAATTTCGAGAAAACAATAGCTGTAAGTGGAACTGCCGACCGAACCATTACTTCATGTCATTTTCCCATAAACACTCTCTAATGCCCACTCTCATTCCATCTCGCTCCCACCGCCACCACCGATGATGGTCGATGCCGTAATCTTGGACCATTCTTCGATCCCATGTCGTCAGTAACCAAGATGACTTGGACCAACTTGTTTTACAATAAAAATAACTACTACTACTTGACTTGATAGTAGTTTTTTAGTAAATCATTTTAATAACAATAACCATTAATTTAGAAATTCGAAAAAGGTTGTTAAAGGTTATGTTTGGAGCACGGCGTTGTACGAGTGCGAAACATGGACAGTGGGAGCGGCGGAAAAGAAAAGGTTCGAAATGTGGTGTTGAGGCGAATGATGAGGATATCGTGGGTAGAAATGGTTAGAAATGAAGAGGTATTGGAAAGAATAGGAGAACAGAGGACTCTATGGAAGACAATAAAAAATAGGCGAGATAGGTTGGTAGGACACCTTCTGAGGCATGAAGGTCTAGTCAGAGACATATTAGAGGCAGAAACAGGAGTTAGGAGGGGTAGAGGTAGACCTAGATTAGATTACTCTTCGCAAATAGTTAAGGATGTGGGCTGTTTAGTTTTAGGGAAATGCGAAGTTTAGCTCAGGATAGGAAAGAGTGGAGGTACGTGTCCAACCAGTCTTAAGACTGATGACCTTATGATGATGATGAACCAGGACAATTCCCTTTCCTTATTACGCCTTTTTATGTTTTTGTATCTGATTCTTGCCCTCTCGTTAGGTAAATTCCGGTACGTGCCTGAACGATTTTCACGTTCATCTAGTTGGAAATAGCGACGTTTTGTCAGATCAGCAAGTTTGCCGGTGCTGTTACGTCCCTCTCGTTTAATGACGTTTCAAAATCATGTCGCCGCATGTCGTGTAGCCCCGCCCGTCCGCGAAAAACAAAGATAATCAGTGTCGGAGGGTTGATGGGATCATCCATCCACCTACCGGAAGCACGCCCGTGCTTGCTTGGCGAAGCTTAATAACAATGTCATAGTAGTATCCCCGGTGACAGAACTGCTGACGATGGTTACAGTCGACGACGACGACGTCTGACTGTCCACAGTTAGCCCAGCCGTTCGCATTTTCTCTCTCCCCAAAAATCTACACCCTGCTACCACTTCACTCGCGTGAATTATTGTCCACAGGAAACACGGTCACGGACAATTTATGTTCTAAATCGCATCGATATCGACATTGGGGATTGGGGATTTCGTACTGATAAAGATAAGGAGATAGACATTTTGTAAAAAAAAAATACTTATAAGAACGAATGGGCTTCGCGCCTTGATGGTTCCATAGGTAATGTTAAAAATATTCGTTGTCATGACTAAACAGAAAATTGATTACGCGAAAGTTCGTCACGTAAATATCCCACAAGGAATTAAAAAAACTAAGATTATCGGATGGTTTCTATTCCTTGTGTCATGAGATCGTCCTTTATTCCAAGGATTTATACGTATATATCCTCAACTGTAATAAACAAAACGTTCAAAATTATCCTTTTGTGAAACTCTTTCTTGATTTAGTTAGCATTTTTGTGAGCAAAGGTACATGAGGATAGATTTTGTTGTTGTTTGTTGCACTGAATTTTTTCTCCAGGAACTGGAAGTGTTTTTAAAATTCGATTCTTCGATTTGTGCTGCCCGTAAATCCAGTAAAATCGTAGATTTACGATGCAATGATTCGGACGTCGTATCCCGGTGTCTATATATCAAAAGGACGTCGCTGAGTAGGGACGTCAGGACAATGTGCAACGAACGGCACAAACGACGTCCCCAGGGATCGACCGTTGCATCGCCATTAGTTGTTGCGGCAATAACGACGAAGGAAGTAGAAGTAGACGGCGCGCTGTTGCTACCGTCGCCTACTAACGCCGCGACGCCACGTCGTCGTTACACCTTGAACGGGTCTTCCGAGGGCCATAACCCTATCAGGGCAGACGGAGTTCGATGCGTGCATAGTGATTTTTATTATTATGTTGGGAATCCGAATAGGCCTCGGCGCATGCATAAGTTTACTGTTATTCCCGCGTATGTGAAACGGGTAGAAAATTGAAGAGGGTCGTCTCGGCTTTCCATCCATCCGCGTCGAGACGCGTCGCTCACCTAGTGACACACGCACGCCCCTGATTTTTAAGGGTCTCCAAGGACCGCATATATATATATCTACACACACACACATCACCTTCGTCAGGACGACTTGAGTTATTGACTCGCTCGCATCTGAATATAAAGTACAAAAATTCATACACATGCGAAGACTGCAGGATGGAACGCGAAAATGAGCTGATAGTCTTCGGTTCTTAAATCCTTCCTTATTAAGTAAAGTAGCAAGCTGTAGCTAAACTAGTTTCGATATCCGATGGCTTTTGTTACTCGATCGTTATAATTTGCAAGGCGAAGTTTCCGTCGTGCCGTAAAAGAGAACCGAACCCCGAGTTATGCGTGTATGATCGTAGACCGTAAGTAGATAATCGACGTTTTCCCGAGATTAGTAATTCAAATTCGGTACATTTATCAAGTGCAGCGAGCATAACGACTGTTGGCTGCTCAATAGTTAATGATCCAACATGAAATGCCATTAAGGCATTATAAAGTGGGCGAAAATGCTGGCGCACAATCACGAGAAATCCGACACGATTTTCGTTCCCATATCGTGCATACGATATCACCGATATAAGGATCTATTAATGAAAATGTTGGAATTCTTTGCCATAGATTTTTATCATTATCATTACTGAGGTCGTAATAACGCGTAAGAATATTTTTCCGATTTAAGGAATGAGTTGAACACGTTGTGGCGGCGGAGTTGTGAAAAATTACTCATAATAGAACCGCGTAAAACAGAATGTCGATAATCCGAGAAGAAACC